GCCTCTCGTTGGCTCGCGACGTGATTCTCAGGGGCCTCCTGCAGCCTCTGCAAAGCCTCCTGGAGTCTCTCGGCGTCTCTTCGGGGCCACTCGGGAGCTTCTGGAGGTTTCTTGAAATCTTTACGGGCCTCCCGGGGGTCTCGGGGGCACGTTAGGAGCCACACACCCCAAGATACTGCCCCACGACCCCTCTTGGCACCCTCGTGGGGCTCTCTTGGGCCTCCCGTGGGGCCCTCTCGGGACTCTCTTTGGGCGTCTTCAGCGCCCTTGGGACCGTCTAGGCGTAGATTGGTTGAACGGGTCATGCATGTGGCTGCAGGGACGCAAACGATATGATGAACGCGGTGAGAGAACACCTAATCAGGACAAAGGTCCCCAGGTCCTCCCCCCTTAACCGCGTCCCGCGGCCGGGGCGACCAGGACACCACGGCTTCAACCTTGAGAGCGCCCCCCAGGCCCCCCTCTTGACCGCGTCTCGCAGCCGAGGGGGCGCCTCGAGTTGACCGCGTCTCGCGGCGAGGGGGGCGCCTCGGGACACCACGGTTTCAACCTTGAGCGCCCCTCGGGCACCCTCACCTGACCGCGTCTCGCGGCCAGGAGGGCGCCTCGGGACACTCCCCAGGCGCCCCCCCCCCCTTTGACCGCGTCTCGCGCCGGGGGGGGCGCCTTAGGACACAACGGGGGGGGATACCCGAGGAGACAAGAGAGAAAAAGAGAGAGGCAGAGAGTGGAGACTCGAGCGGAAACCAGGACAACCAACCAACCTCCTCGCTACTCGATTTGCGCTCCTCTGGAACGCCTCCCGGGCACCTCCCCTTGACCACGTGTCGCGGCCAGGGGGGCGCCTCGGGACATTGCGGCTTCAACCTTGAACGCCCCCTCTGGACCCCCCTTCCCGCGTTTCGCGGTCAGGGGGGCGCCTCGGGGCACCCTGGCAGAAGGCAAAGTGTCGTGGGCGAGGGGACCAGGCTACGAATGGCCCGCCGTATTGCCGGACGATGGGCCATGAAAATGGCCCGCCGCCCAGAACCAAGCTCCTCGGTCCTCGCCTCGCCAGGCCAGCGCGACGCCGAACGCCCGCCAAGGCGAAGCAAATCTGACTGGACCGCAGGGTGGAGTGATGTCCGCTCGCGGCTCGTACTGCCGCCGTGCCTGGGTTGTGGGTCAGAGGCGTTTTGGATACCTGCTGGGGCCTTCTGGCATGATTCGCGGGCGCCCCTGAGAGCCAGCTCTGAAGCCCCTCGGGGTCTCTCGGGTGCTGCTTGGGGGCCTCTTGGAATCTGCTTCGGGCCTTTGGGGGGGGGCCCTTGGGGGCCTGCTGGCGGTCTGGGAGGTCCTTTCTGGGCGGAGGGCTCGACATGTGAACTGGAGAGATCCCTCTTGGGACCCTCTTGGGGCTATCTTGGGCCGTCCTGGGCGCCTCTCCGACCGTTTGGGGGATCTCCTGGGCCGTCTGGGGGCTCTCCTGGGCGCCTTCAGGGTCGTTGTGGGGCGATCTTCGGGGCCTCTTGGGCCGTCCTGGGCGCTGCGATGACCCAAAAAGCGAATATGCTGAAAATATAAATCTCCGGAGCCTCCGGACCGGAGGGAAGTGAGAAATGTTGGCCATCTGGGGCCTTTTTAAAGAGCATATTGGAGCCCTCTCGGGGCGTCTTGGAAGCCTCTTGGAAGCTTTCGGCCATCTTGAGGCCGTCTCGGGGCGTCTTGGGTGCGCCACTCTCGTCGCTTATTCGTGTCCCCTGGGGGTGTTTGGGGCGGCCATGGTGGCCGGGGGGAGGCCCAGGAGACTCTGGAAGAGTGGGGGGCCCAAAACGGGGGGGAGGGCGGCGATCCGGGAGAATGTGCTGGCACGGGGCCGGGGCCCCAGTACCCGGACTTATGATATCTATTCGAATACATCCGTGGGTGGCGGGTTTGGGGGGCCCCCAGTTGCCCGAGCGCCCCGGGGAGCCCGAAACGGCACCGGAGGGTCCCCGGAGGGCCTCGAAACGGCGACGGGGCGAAAAAAGTCGAGCGCAAGCAGCAGAACGCGCGTCTGCGCCCGGCCGAGCCCTCAAAGACCACTCAGTGTCTCGCAGCCGGCAACAGCCATTACCATCCGGGCCTGGATGGCGGGGAGGGGTCAACCACGCACACACACACACACACATACACGCGCACACGCTTGTGAAGTCGGCGGCGCGGAGGAGCCTCAGGCGCGGTCGGCAGGTGGGGGTGCCAAATGCGAACGACTCACGCAGCATGCACACACGCACACACGCACGCACCCACGTTTGGCGTCGGCTGCTGGGCAGGGGGTGTCGCTCCGACGATCGGGCATCGGGGGGGCGCACTGGATGCAAATTCAAGCCGCGACGCACGCACACACACACGCACGAACACACACACACACACACACTGCGCATGCATATGTATGAGCCTGGGCACGCACGTGCCACTTGTATGTGTGTATCGCTTCCGCGGCGAGCGCGCGCACTGCGTCGCGCCGGTGTCAAGCTGG